TTGTGGATCAATTGGTGGCAAAGAGACAATTGTTTGCCTTTTTTGTTGACCAAAACAACACAAACAGAGACTCAAAACGACTCCATATTTAGAGTCTATTAATACGACGTCTGAAAACACAAACACTATATTCAATACAAACCAATCGACGAATGCTTACAAATCTGTGCATAGAGTACGACATCCAGAGAGACGGCCCGCGAGTGCTGTGGGGTTCGCAGCACTGCCTTATATGGCGAGGCATTGGGGGGTCACTCATGTATTCACGTATTCATGAATGCCTTCACAACATATTGCTGTCATTAAAGCCCGTATAATGCCATCAATGACGTGATGCCTCCGCCGACCCCCTGTGGCCCCCCTTCCGGACCCGTGGCTGTCATACCCGCCAAACATGTGATTCTCACTCATTATAATTGCCGTAAATTGTGTTCAAATTAATTGATAATTGATTTTGAATTGATGTGTGAAATGAGTGCTCAAATTGAATGCATTCATCACTTGAAGTGTCATTTCAAGTGTTAAGTCATATGTTTTTATGGATCACGTGATTGCCTGCTATCAGATCCACAAATAAACATATCGTCCATCAGTTGATTACAATTGTGATTAATCTGATCCCTAAATGAGCCAAACAAGTGTCACAAATGGCTAAGACATGGACACACGTGTTGGTGACAGTTGGCAGCACTCGCTTTGATAAGCTCTTGGATCAGATGAGTGATGTGAATACTCTTGGGGTGAGTCAGTGATTGTCTCTCATTAGTTAACTAACAGTAATTGATTGCATTTGATATACAGTTGTTGTCATCGTTTGGTTGCACTCATCTGACCATTCAATACGGATCGTCCGGTTGTCCGCCAATCCATTCAAATCCATTCAATATTACTGTTAATGCCTTTGACTACAAGACTAGTATAATATACAGTTGTTGTCATCGTTTGGTTGCACTCATCTGACCATTCAATACGGATCGTCCGGTTGTCCGCCAATCCATTCAAATCCATTCAATATTACTGTTAATGCCTTTGACTACAAGACTAGTATTATGGACGACATGATGAGCGCCGATGTGGTTATTGGACACGCGGGTCAGTCCATACACGCATCTGTTGTGTAGATCCTAACATACGGTTGTCTGTCTGTCCGTCAGGTGCGGGAACAGCTCTGGAAGTGCTTCGACTACATAAGCCGTTCTTAATGGTAGTGAACGATGAGCTGATGGCAAACCATCAAAAAGAGTTGGCCATCGATTTGCAAAGCGAAGGATATTTGCGATACTGTTATCCAAACCAATTGCAAGAGAGTCTCAGAAGTTTTGGCGACCAAACGATGGCATCGTTGAAGACATTTCCCGACCCAATGCCTCACTTATTCTCTGATTTTATTGATAGCATATTCTTTAAATAAAATGATCTCTAATTGTTATACCAATATATTTATTTATTTTATTTAACAATTTGCTGCATTTTATTATTAATTTTGTTTATATTTATATAAAATGTATTTTAATTTTATAACAAAATTAAAAACTTATGTTTAATATGAGATCTTAACGAGAAATGAGATGACAAACTCTGAGACAACTTAAAAATGTATGGATTCTGTATGTTATTTAAATGTATACGTGATTATTAGCCAATACTGACAGCTAATACGCTAGACCTTTGTTTGAAGTAGTGACCGAAATGTCGACAAAATCTTCGGCCCGACCCAACCCGAACCCGAACAGACTCGACCCGAACCCGACCCGAACCCTAGTTTCAAATTTCAAGCCCGACCCGACCCAAACCCTAAACCCGAATAATACTACACTAAAGTAGGTTTTACAAGCGTTTCATTACATTTATGGCGTTTTGTTGAACTGTTGCCACGTTTTAGCTATATAACAATACTTTTTGACTTATTTTCACTATATTAATAGTCATTTGTGCTAAAAAACAACACTTGTATGAGTTCACGCATGTCTTTTAAGTATAAAGTTTACTTTAGGGTTTAGGGTCTAATTCGGGTTCGGGTTCACATTGGCTCAAACCCAAACCCGAACCCAACCCGAATTTTACAAAGCAGGCCCAAACCCGACCCGAACCCTAAAGGGTTCGGGTTTAACTCGGGTTCGGGTTTTAGATTTCGCTCATTAGTTTGAAGTGTAAGCGATTCCTGTTTCCATTGAGTGATTGTCTGTACTCACAGTTTTGATAACCACATGTACGGCATTTGTAAAGTCGAAAATGAGTACTTTTCGAGATAAACATTGTTCAAGTGTTTAGTGTCCTGATAAAGGTACTATTAATATTCTGCTTATGGTTATATTGCGAATAATTCTATTCACTTTTGTTTCTAATTGTAAATTGATACATTTAATAATTAGATTGAAATTAAATTTTAAGTATATTTCTTATATTCAATGAATTGAATGAAAAGGCAAAATATATTTATTTAAAATCTGCACTTTATTTATATAAACAAAATTCACAAATCAATTGGTAATGATATGAAAATTCATTCAAAATCAATGAACTTTCAATTAATAACAACTCTTATCGAAAGAAGATATTATATGAAATACAATGTATTTATGTTTAAATTAATTACAAAATGAGTTTTAAATGTTTTTCAAAATTAATTGTTAAATGGTTTTAATGAGAAGAAATGTGTGACAATTTTAGTTGACTTGTGTTTAGTTTTGTAACTCTATGTGAAAAATTCGTTGAGAAAAACAATTTAAAAAGTATTTTTTCGTTGGAAACGAGACCTTAGTTTATAATTAGAGATAAACGTTAGCTTTTACTGAGAAAATGATAAATTTTAGGTACATTTAATGATAAGGCGAAGCGCTTGAATTTAGATGTATAAGATAAATGTTATTAATTAATTATAACACTACAGTATTGTTATATACAGTATATTATAGTTTAAGCTCACTTTCGCTACTCTTTCTGATGTATTAAAAGTTTTTTATGAATTAAAAATTAAAACTATCATTAATACAAATGAAATGAATTTGCATTCAAAAAACAAAACCATTTGCGAAATATTAATAAAAAATTAATTACATTAAATTATTCAACAATAGTGGACAACCATGATGAACTGAATGAACATAATGATCAATGCTAACTTTATTATAGATGATCTAAAATTGTATTATTTGACAAAGTATTTAATAAAATATCAATTGAAAAACAAATTGAGAGTAAGATTTGATAATTGAATAACAAATGTATTTTTATTGTCTAAACACTTAACATCTAAATAGTCTTCAATTACTTCATATTTTAAATATTTTTATATTTTAACAAATAATTAAACAATTTTAGTGAGAAATTGGTTAATAAATTAAATCATAGGCTATTGTTGTGTTATTTGCTAAATTATATATACTTTTAGATTAATAACTAAAATATTTGAAAGTAAAACTCAAATCCTTTGAAGATATCAATCTTCTTGAGTAACAGAAAGTATTTTTTGTCATTTGGTATAAAATGTATAAAAAGAGGAATAAATAAAATGTATTTAATGTTTGCGTTGAAAGAAAAAGTATATTTTAAATATTAATAGTAAGAAAACTATTGAGAGATTTAGTGAAAGACAACATTAAATATAGATATATGAATAGCATATAAGGCATACCGTGTTTAACATTGAAAGGAATGTCAATTTAATAATTGATACCATGATTAATTTTTCAAAAGAAAAATGTTCTCGTTTCAAATGTCTTCAATTACTATACAATTTATATATATAACTGTATATATAATAATATAATATATATTACAAATAAATAATTTAAGTTAATTTCAGTCGATATATTTCTTTGACTCGTTCTTTGGCACTGTTTATGATTTTTTTAAATATTAATATTAAACCCAAAAAATCCTTATAAATATCATTTTTTAGTTGATATAACACTTTCAGACCATAACTAAATAACTAATGGAAGAAACCAACGCTTGAATTAATAGTATTGGTTTTTTAGTACATTAAACATGTTTCATTAATAACAGTGAAATATTATTATAATTTTTCAAAAACTTAATCTTTTCCTATTTTTTATAACAACTCCTTAAATATAATAATATTAATAAATTCTTTGCAATCATTTATGTGGACAAAGAGTAAGAAGTGATGAACTTTGTATGCATTTGGCATATATTAGCTCAAGAACTGTGTCCAGAATTTTAAGCGATGATAGTATTAAACATAAAATATGAGGTTTTGGTTCAATGTGTAGAACTGAAGTCAAAAATTGGATGAATTTGTTGGCCAAACATAACAAGACATGGGCTAAGACGTCGAGTTCTCGATGTCATCGATTTCCTCTATAGACGACTGTCGACAACACCTAATATTGACATTTATTTGGCAAACAAAATAACAATTGATAAGTTATATCGAGCGCTGAGATTGTATTTACAGAATGGCATTTGCGATATACCTGCGGATAAAAGAGATGGCAGATCGTGACTTTGGTACGGGTGGTGCGGCCATCAGCATGGGCATTTGGTTCTTATGGCTGATCTGAATCTGCAATTTATTACACAATCGTATGAGAGATGTGTTGCATAAAAACAGAGGCAAAAACATGCGCTTACAGTACAGGGCGGTTGAATCCACGGCTCGCCATCGATTTGCATTGGAAATCGTTTTCTAGTCCTTAAGAAATTCAAGACAAATATTTACATAAACTCTAACAACAAAATCGCGAACAGAGTTATCATAATTGGATTTTGTGTGAATAAATACCTGATGACAACGCAACTGCATTGGGCCAGTCGTCGTCCGGATGCCCTGAGGCCAGCCTTGACCTGACCGACATGCATGCAATTCTCTACACCAATCACTTCGATTAGTTTGTCGCCGATATCCTGGACAGCGATGGACAGATCAACGCTCGACAGACTAGTACTCGAGTGCTCCCTATCTTTCCTCCTTTTTTTTGTCAGTAATTTATTTCTATTCTTTTGACTCGAAGTATCGCCCCATAGGTTAGAACCGCCGTAAATGGACGGTATGTTCAACACAGCGATTCCCTGCAGTGACGGACCGCTCTTTAGGTCCAACTGTTGGCCATCGCACTGTCAAATCAATTTGTCTTATTTTTAGTCACATTCTTTATGTGTGTGAGACTCGTATATCTACCATAATGTCAATGTCTTCGTGTAAGTTCTTGCAGGTGGCGAAGAATGTCTCGGAAGTGGCGAACTCGAAGTACCACATCTTGTTCTTCATACGGCTGTTAAACTTTTCCGGATGTTTCTCTCTTTCCACGTGAAACTTAATGGCAATCGACGCGTCCTTTCATTTCATATTTGAAAAATTCATATTTTATTTTAAACGAAACACATTTATATTCATGAAAGCACTTATGACTAGTAATGGAAACGCAAATATTTGTTCAATGGGTTTGATCCTTAAATGTTATAATTTTACTGTAATTTATTATTCGTTAAAACAATTTGCAAAATAAAAATATATCATTTAATTATAACAATAAAATAATAGGCTTAATGTTCTAAGAAATTAATGTGTAAATAAAATTAATTAACGAATGAATTATTCTCTAATGGATTGAATGAATTTAGGATTTGTATATAAATCCGGCCAAACATACAAACAATAACATATGAATTTATGTTCAAAATTTATTTCAATTGCCGTTTTCTTATCGCTATAATCGTTACAATTAATTGTAAGCAAAGATTAATCGAGAATTACGAGAAAAGGGACATAACGGAGATGTAGGAGAGAGAGAGAGAGAGAGAGAGAGAGAGAGAGAG